ACAAGGTGGCGAGATGCCGCCTGATGGACAGGAGGTCGTGGGTTCCATCCCGAGCCTGACGCCTGCTGTATATCTGGAGTTTGCAAGTTCTCCCCGTGGGCGTGTTGATTTTTTTCCTCCGGGTCCTCCCGTTTTTCCCTTCACATTTAGAAACGTGCATTTAGAGTATTTGACTGCAGGACATTTCCACGCGATAAGCCACTTTGTTGTGCCATCATTTGTGGCCAGTTCGCTTCTGTAAAAACCTATACAGCTCAGTGGGCCTTGCCTGGTAAAATAAAAATAAAAAATTTAGTTTAATCTCCCTGTTCTGCATGGTTTTCCTCTGGATTTGCTGGTTTCCTGAACATCGCTAAGACAAAACAAGACACACACAAACCAAGTAATTTACCTCCAGCAGAGTATGAAATGAAAGCTGATATAAAACGAGCAAAGCCTGCTGCTGGTTAATTCATTGGCCCTGGTCAATCCACCGCTGGATCAAGGCCTCCCAAAGCTCCCACCAGCTCTCCTGCCACGATCAGCTGTCATGCAATTCAAGGCCAAAATTTGAAACACGCTTAATACTATCTTTTTTTTTAATCTACGAAAGATAACGTTAATAATGTAAGCCTCGCTCAGTTTGAAGACTCATTTTCACGAGGGTCGTGCTTGAGATGTTTGGCCAATGCCTTAACAAATATGTTCATGTGTTTTTTTTCGTGGAAAAACTGGAGCACTCGGAGACAACCCCACGTGCGGTCGACGGGGATGTCACTCACGAACACGGACAAGCCAAACAATTGCTTGGATTGCCTTCCAATGTCATCCCACTGCTGTAAAAAAAACAACAATAATAACAGTGATTCAATAATAATCATCATCCAGGAGAAGCCCTCTCAACGGCGGTGATTTTGTTCCACGAAAGCGGTCGTTAAATGATTTTGTCGTCAAGTGATTTCGTCGTACTCGGATTGTAATTGTTGTGGCTTGGCTCTCCAACACACAACTGGTGTGCTGTACTTGTGACGAATTGGCCACGTTCTGCTTACGTGACAACCCTTGCTAGTTGGCTGTGTCGGGTGGTGGCGGGTTTAACGACACATTCATATATTTACACGATCTAACCCAAAAAAAACCTGCATTGTGAAGTCTAGGAAATACGCGTTAAAGGCTTAATTCGTTCCAATAGCAACGAAAGTTACCCCTTTTCACCCAAAAAACTGACTTAATAAAATGTTAACAATGGATATGAATCCATAAAGATACTAACAACATTATGAAGACAATATTAAAATAAACATGGTTAATCGATGCGTTAATTATTTCTTACCGTACCTACAACAGCCCATCGTTAACAGGGGAATGGTGGGTAAGTGAACACATTGGGCTCTATGTGTGGCACATTCGGAATGGGCCACTCTTTTTATTATTTTCTAGTGCAGCAAGGGAGTAAAGTGTGGTTTTGTGAAAGTCCTTACGTGCTGCGCAGTACATCAATGCACGTGCGTACACCAGCGTGCGATCACTGAGTTGGACCTGTGGGTGGCTGGCGGGGTTATTGATTAAACGGACTTGTAAACCAGTCACGTGGTTAATGGCGACTCGGTTGAGGATTGCTGTTTGTGACATACGCGCTGCTACATTTTGCAGATTGAACACAATCAATGTGTTTGCCCTCGAGTTGGAGCACCTGCCCACGTCCTTCATTTCGTGTGTGCAACATATGGAGGCACTACACTACTATACACTACACTATACACTACTCTACACTACAAATTAGGTTCTATAGAGGCCCGTCGTTAAGTGATTAGTCGTTAATAGGGGTGGTCGTTAAGAGGGGTTCTGCTGGAACAATAATCAATGACAGTGCTTTGTCAATCCACTGCTGGGAGAAGGTCCCCCCCCCCCCGTTCCGTGCCAGTCACGGGGGTGGTTTGACCATACTTCACCACGCTGGTGGTGTGTACAGTGACGATTATCTGAACCGGTCCTGGACCCTCCCCTAGGTCGGCTCAGCCTCAAATGAGTAGCTGGCGCGGTGCACGGTTAACATCGCCACGAGAGAGACAAAGGCGGCCGGGCGTGGCGTTGTCCAACCCACCTCCTCGTGCTCCGCGCCGTGCCTTCATAGGCTCTCGCGAGCGGCACTTGCCCCAAAAGTCCGTGCAAGGCTATACGGGCGACCTTTGTCTTTGCCTTTGTTAATGGTGGCACAATTTGTAACGGAGGCTGGAAAAGTGAACTCGCTCGCAGTCACCGGGAGAAGCTAATTAGGAGTAATAGAGCTGTGTTGTCCTCATTACGGCAATCGTCAAGCGAAGAGATGTATCACTCCAAATTAAGACCGCCGCTGCTCACAGTCAATTGCAAGCAAACATTATTCCGTGAGCAGAATTATTTTTTCGCGAGCTCAGCGGTTGGTCCTCCCCCCACCCCCCCATACTTTTCGCGTGGCCGATGTTATTCAAAATAACGGGAAACATTTGTTTTGTTTACGTTCGCAGAAACCTCGCGGTAAATCGTCGCGCCCAGTTTCTCTGTTGTTCGTTTTAACACGTAGGCTTTCGCGACCAATGTTATTCATAATCAACGTTTTTGGGTTTAGATCGCGTTTATTTATAAATGTGTCGTAACCCTCCACCACCCGACACGGCCAATCAGTAAAAATGTGTCACGTTGACAAAGACAAATAGTTCACTGCTTTAGGCCACCGGTGTGTTGAAGCCACAACATTTAATTATAAATAAACGCGATCTAAACCCAAAAACGTTGATTATGAATTCTCTGTTGTTGTGGGTTCCCGGCATCGTATCGTTCCACGCACCATCTGCACGTTCGTCATCTTCACAGTCAATCTGCCAATATAGCTCAACTCCACTTGGTTTTTTTTTTCATTGACTTCCATTTTAATCATCAGACTTGAACAAGGACATCTGTTTAAATACTTAAAAAAAAACACCTTTGCGTTATCCAACTGACAACTTTTGTTGAATATGTCTGTGAGATGCAAACGCCCTCGCCTGGTATGCAGGAGGTCGTGGGTTCGATCCCGACCCTTACGCCTGTTGTATATTTGGAGTTTGCGTGCCTCTGTCCATGTTCTCCGAGTCCTCCGATGTTTCCCTCCACATTTAGAAACATGCATTTAGAGTATTTGGCTGCTATACATTTCTACATAATAAGCCACTTCATTGAGCTATCATTTGTGACCAGGTCGCTTCTGAAAAAAGATCTAAATAGCTCATTGGGCCTTACCTGGTAAAATAGAAAGTTTGGTATTGAGACAGGAGATATCCAGATCCCTTCGACCGGTTTCCAAACCAATCGTGGATTTCAAAATGATAACTTTAAAAAAAATTAAACGCCCTCGCTGTTTCGGGGCACACATCTTGATGGTCGAGTGTGAGCCGTGCAAGTGTCAGGAATTGAGTGATAACGCGCGCTGGAGGTGATTTCTGGACAGCAAAAGGCGCAACTGAGACAATTGGATCAGTCGTCGACTGGCAGGTCACGTGACATCACCGCCAGACTGCTTGTATCACGCTCGCTGTCGTGTCCAAAGTTGCAGGGTTTGGCAGAAAGTAAGAAACTGGAACAAACGGTGGCACCAAAATCTACTGCTCCTGTAAAGGCTGTGATGATGATGATGATAACGATGACAATACAAACGTTTAGTACGTCTGGTATTCGAGCGATGTTTAACACATTCCTGCGGAGGGAGCTGGTAGGAACGTCGGGTTGCTCGGTCAATGGCCAGGGTCAACGGCGGCGTGGTGTATTCCGCAAATATGCGGGCACAAGCCGGCGTGAGTAGGTTCAACGTTGAGTTTTATAAGGGCACCACGGCGTGAGCCTCTCCCCACCCAGCGCCACCCCTCCCACCCCCCACCCAGCCCCACCCTCCCCACCAAGCCCCTCCCCACCCTCCCCTCCCCACCCTCCCCACCCATACCCTCCCCACCCTCCCCACCCAGCCCCTCCCAACCCTCCCCTCTCCACCCAGCCCCACCCTCCCCACCAAGCTCCTCCCTACCCTCCCCACCCAGCCCCTCCCCACCCTCCCCTCTCCACCCTCCCCACCCAGCCCACCCAGCCCCTCCCCACCCTCCCCACCCTCCCCACCCAACCCCTCCCCACCCTCCCCACCCAGCCCCTCCCCACCCTCCCCTCCCCACCCAGCCCCACCCTCCCCACCCAACCCCTCCCCACCCTCCCCACCCAGCCCCTCCCAACCCTCCCTTCTCCACCCTCCCCACCCAGCCCCTCCCCACCCTCCCCATCCAGCCTCACCCTCCCCACCCAACCCCTCCCCTCCCCACCCAGCCCCACCCTGTCCACCCAGCCCCTCCCTACATGACGGACGGACACAATAATCCCCTGTGTGCTGGTGTAACCAGGAGGTTCCTACCAGTATAACGCGAGAGCTATCATGCAGTGGTCCCACAGTAGGGAGGCGATGGGTGCAATTGCAATTTCCAGAATTTGTAAAATTCGCAACGCAATGGGCTACGCGTTCCGAAAGACATCAGCGGAACTTAAACATCTCCCGTGAAGCAGATGGAGCGGATGTTTGGCACCGCCACCCTCACCGCACCCCCCCACCACCGCACTCCCCCCCCCGTCACACCCCCCCCTCACACCACCGCACCCCCCCCTCACACCGCCCCACCCCCCCCTCACACCACCGCACCCCTCACACCGCACCCCCCCCCTCACACCGCCCCACCCCCTCACACCACCGCACCCCCCCCTCACACCACCGCACTCCCCACACCACCGCACTCCCCACACCACCGCACCCCCCCCTCACACCACCCCACTCCCCCCCTCACTCCCCCCCCCTCACACCGCACCCCCCCCTCCCACACCACCCCATTCCCCCCCCCCCTCACACCACCGCACTCTCCCCCCTCACACCGCCCCCCTCACACCGCCCCTCCCTCACACCCCCCCTCCCTCACACCACACCCCCCCCCCCTCACACCGCCCCCCCTCACACCGCCCCCCCCCCCCCTCACCAGGGCCTCTGTGGTGGCTGGAGCCTCTGGCCGTGGGAGCCCCGGCCAGCACCAGCAGGCTCAGCAGCAGGGGGAAGGACAGCGGGCCGCAGTCCTTGGCAGACCAGGGCAGCATCATCCTTCTACTCCCTGCTCAGCCACGTGGTGGGGTGGAGGGGATGAGGTGGGGGGGGTCAGAGATTGGGAGGGGGGGAGACACAGGCAGGTAAAACAACGTCGCGGAAGGTGAGAAAGGGGACAAAGGCTCCCCGTGTAGCCTTAACAGACTGTAGGGACAAGTGCTGTTGGCAAGCAGCGAAGAACGCCGGCACGGCACACGAGGGTGTGGGTGGCCAGCACCACGTCCGGCCGCCTTTGTCTCCCCAGTGGCGAAGTTTCCACACCATGGCAAGTACACATTCGAGGCTGAGTCAACTTAGCTGGAGGCCCAGGGCCGGTTCAGATAATCGTCGCTGGTGTTGGCCGTAAGTGGCAATCGAACTCGGGTCGCCGGGTTCATCGAGCAGCATAGCGCTACCGGCAACACCACCGCTGCCCGTCACCCCCTTCGCCCACAGGCATTGCCTAGGCGGCTCAAAATACTCACAATGACCGTGTCCCCACAGATATTTTGGGTGAAATTTTAATTTCAGCATCGAAATGGCATGGACCAGTTCTTGGTCCTGCCCGGCACTTCCACCTAAACGCTCAACACAGCTCATCAGCGAGCCCACGGCCACACTGCCTGACTTCCACCTTCCACGGAAGCAATGGGCAGTGAATTAACCGGGTCGGCGCCAAGTGCGGAAGATGCGAAACGTCGAACGCACGAGCAGAGAATCCAAGACTCTTCCCCCTTTGCCAACAACAAACCGCGGCGGAGCGCGTAACATCGCGCTGCCCGCGACACGCAACGCGAGAGTTGTGTCTGCAATTGACCAACTCTCACACAAAGCAATTGGATGGCAAAATCCCTTCTCTCTCTCTCTACACAAAGCCGTACAAAAGACGAGGCATTGGCACCATGTCAGAACACGGGGGGTTGGCAACTACCCCGCACCTCCGATTGGCACGATTTGGCGACGTACAGTACGAAAGAAGTTCAATATATTTTTCGATTTAAAGCTTTCGTGACTGCAGGGATTCATCTGCTTGGTTCTTTCGGTAAAGTCACGTAGAAGGGAAATAATAAAGTAATAAAAAAACATAATAAAATAATTCTCACGACGTTTCGGCCACAACGCAAGCAGCCGTCCTCAGGTGAAGAACAGGTCTGTCGGAAAGACAGCGTCTGAATGAATATACTTGCATACCATGCCAAGTCCGGTGGGTTCTTGCCACGAGAGCGGTTGTCCATCTCCCCGCGGGCAGCTAGTGATGTGTTGTGTAACTGTGCATTTTATGAGACATCTCCTTTACCAGGGGCAAAATATAGTAACAGATTTTTACCCTTGTATAAAGGTGTCAGTTTTTGTACCAGTCGAAAGGGTAAAAACCTATTACTATAACTGTGCATTGATTCATTGAGTTAAACCGAGTTGTATTCGTAATTTGGACGTATAGCGACTACTCTGCATAAAAAACGGGTGCTGTAGGCTGCTACGGGACCACGTTTAGGGCAGCAGAGGGCAGTCAGTCAAAATTGTAAACGAATTTTCTGAACTGAAAACTCATCTCGTCCGAGCAGCTTTTTGTGTTTGGTTTTGTTGTCCTTCCGCCCGCATCTCCAATCAGCAACGTTGGCTCCGCACGGTGCAAAAGAAGTTCAACATGCATCCAGCCTTGTATAAAAACAAGGCTGGATAAATGATCAACAATACGAATGAAATGACAAGGAATACATCAAATGCTTTCATCGCTATCGCAAGCCCCGAATCACGAGGAATTCATCTAATCGCTTAGAGAGTGATTCCTCAGGGTGCTGTCACATCGCTGGTATAGGTGCTATAGGTTTAACCCACAGTAACCGGGCAGCACTAAGGGAGCTCACGATGGCCGTGTCAGAGCAATTAGCCAGCTCGACTGAGATTCCGTGCTTTAAGCCATATAGCAGGTCATCTCGCTTTCTCGCTCTCTTGGGTGGTACACGGTGGCCGTGTCAGAACGTCGGGACAATTTTACATAAATGAGATGAGGGTGGGTTGGTTGGTACCACGTGAAGTGACAAACACGACTTGTGTCCACCACAGGCAGTGTTCAACTTTTGCAGAGAGCGCGGCTTACTCGCATGTATGTTTTATAGGCACACATATATATTTTAATATTTTGTAAACGTTTCAAAGTGCGTTTATTCTTTTCGGAAACTCCGCGGTCAACATGCAACGTTGGCCCAACGGGTGCCAACTATTTCATGTTTACCCAGTATATCCTCGCTTGAAATGTACCCCTTTTTTTTAACAACCTTTGTCTCAATAAGAGCTACCACCATGGCCTTGCTATCCAACAAATGTGTAATGTAGAGATACAATGATTTAAGAAAAATCGTTGTCAGCATCTGCCACCCTGGGTGTTACCGATAAGCAGAATTGTTTTTTTTATTTTTGGCAAACGGCTCAAGGCTGCAAACTACCGTTACATTTGTTGAAAAAAAATGTTGCTCCAAATCAAGCGCCTCGTCAACGGATGTGTGGCGACACCTTGTGGCTACTATCGACATTTGCGCCGGAGTTGTCTGGCCACGAAGAGCCCCTTCAAAATCAAAGTCGCCCCCATCCCCGCCTTCCTCCCCAACCAACCAACCACCACCCTCTCTCTTCCACGTTCCAGATGGCCACCCAAGCAGGGGTAGGCCACACTTCATTAGGCAGTTTCGTCAAACCGGATGGAGGCTTAACCCACTCTGACAAGTTTGCTCCTTGATGTCCTATTTATAACAGTCGTGCTGTGGCCATGCGCGCCACAAGCAGCCACAATCCAGGGCCCGATTAAGGTTTGGGATTTTGGGGCCTCCAGCCCACGGACACAGATGTTAAGGTGTCCGGAAAAAATATATCAGCGGCAACAGCAGTAGCCATCTTCTTGGTTCTTTCGGTAAAGTCACGTAGAAGGGAAGTAATAAAATAATAAAGATAAAACATAATATAATAATTCTCACGACGTTTCGGCCACAACGCAAGCAGCCGTCTTCAGGTGGAGAACAGGTCCGTCAAGTAGACAGAGTCTGAATGGCACGCTCCAAGCTTGGAGCGACTAGTAGCCATGTTCGATCCCCTGCTGGATTAAGGCCTCCCCAAAAACCGCCTCTCGCAATTCTGCGGTGTTGCCAATCCACCCCAGCAACTGCACGTGAACAAATGTAATTCCGCTCCATCTCCGTCTAAAATACATTGTATGTATATGTACTACTTTGCAATGGTTGGAATGCAATATTGTGGCACTGTGATGAATAACCAGAGCAACGCGATGCGTATCACTGCCAGTTGCAGTGCCGATACTAAAGTCGTGTCGTTTTATATTTAATACAGATTTTACGATTCCGATATCACATTTACAAGCCAGACCCGAGATAACTAAGGTCGATGGAATATCAGTGGAGTGGTTGGCATTGGGCGAGGGTGGTGGTAAGAGTCAAGGGAAGGAAGTGAATATACAGATGGGGGCCATTAATTCTAGATTTGAAGCTTTCGTGACTGCAAGGATTCATATTCTTAGGTTTTTTCGGCAAAGTCACGTAGGTAAAACATTCAAATTAATAATAGTAAAATAAAATAAAAATCACGACGTTTCGGAGGCAACACAAGTCTCCGTCATCAGGTGGGACCGTCACAGCCAGATTTGCTGCATCAAGTGAGGCAAGGATTCAAGATGTAATCCCGATTCCCCTCTTCGTACCCAATTCCCCTCTTCGCCTGTGCCACGCCCATTTAAACCGCTTGTACATTCATAATAAATGTCTTTGGGTTAGATCGCGTTATTTATAAATGTGTCGTAACCCTCCACCACCCGACACGGCCAAACAGTAAAAAATGTGTCACGTTGACAAAGGACAAATAGTTCACTACTTTAGCCCACCGGTGTGTTGAAGAGTGAATCAACATCATTTTGAGTACGACGTTTCGCTGGTAATTGCATCCAGCGTCATCGGGCGATTTTCCAGAATGGTGAAGCTCTCCTCTTGCTCCCGGTCTTAAATAGAGCAGCAGCAGCAGGGTGATTCAACAGCCGTGCCAGGAGATCGACATCAGTGAACTATGGATAATAGTTGCATATCATTTGTTTAGAGGCACAAATAATCTATTATCACGTGCACGTTTGCGCGTATTGCGACGGTCAATGGTTCGATGCACTTTTAACAGCCGCTAATCATTGAATAGATTAGGTAACTATGTCGTCATCGTAATAATCATCACTACCATTATTAGTTTTGCTTCTAAAGAACTTTTACTTTTGATGTTTTCAAAGAAATTCGGCTGCAGAAACCTATTTCTACGAGAGGAAATGTTATTTGATTTAATATTGATAATCATACATATATTTCGATTGTGCGGCATATTTGAATTCTCATGAAACGCAGTTGTTCTGCTCCAATTCTGTTTGATTTTTCTTGTACAGTACTTTTCTTTTGTTCAAAATATGTTTTTACTCAGTTTTGACCTCTCTTGCAAATGAAACTCCTGAGAATCTCCTGTTATCATGAGTTCTCATCTCGATAAACCAATTTGGATGAACACCTGCATAAACCAATCTGGAGAAACACCTGAAAAATACAATCTGGAGAAACACCTGGATAAACCAATCTAAGCTAATTATGGCGGCCCTGCTAATCACCACAAACTACCGCTAATTTAACGGGATGTGTGTGTGTGTGTTTGGAGGCGACACAGTAAAAACCAAAAATCCATTCTCATTCTATTAGACTATTTTTTTTATTAAACTATTTTTTTAATTTTACCAGGCAAGGCCCACTTAGCTATACGGCTCTTTTTCAGAAGAGACCTGGCGACAAATGATAGCTCAACAAAGTGGCTTGTCACGTGGCAATGTATAGCAGCCAAATACTCAAAAAATGCACGTTGATTCTAAATGTGGAGGGAAAAACCGGAGGGCCCGGAGAAAAATCCACGCGACCACCGGGAGAGAGAGAGACACGCAGACTCGAAATGTAAAGCAGGCGCCAGGGTCGGAATCGAACCAAAGAACCTCCTGTATAC